GTCCTGCAGGTAACGTGAGGCCCTTCGGCGGCAGCGTTCGTTCGGGATGGTGCTACGAGGGTGCCCGGGGCGGGGCGGGCGGAGAAGGAAAATCATAATTTATAGTCTTAGTCTGAGTCTGTGCTTATTCAATGGAAATAGGGCTGAAACAGGCAGTTCCCTCGTACCTGTGGGCTCTAAGCATATTATCTCACCAGTGATTGTAAAGCAGTAATGAAGTGAAGTAATGAGGTTCGGACAGTGTTTGGGCCTGACTTTGAAGAATGACTTTTTTCTCTATGTCCAGCACCCTGCCGTTACCCGTTTATCACGCGGTCCACTCTGTGGCCCTCCTTTATGTGCCTTCTGGTCATCACTGAGCCAAGAATAGTGTGTTAACTAAGTGGACAGTAATTGCCTGGACGAGGAATTCTCGCCTTGTTGCTAACAGGAACTTACATGTAATGTGCTCCTTGCCAAAGAGCGCTTAGCAGGGGATTACTTTCCTCCATAATAGCTGTAGACCAGGGATGAACTAAGGGGAAAAAAAATAAATAAAACAAATGAAGAAATTGCCAACTCAGAGACAGAAAAAATTCAGCTGGACTGTTGACCTTAACATAAAACACTTTCCAGTGGGTACTGGTAGAGTCCCTGGAAACGTTCTAGGAGGAGTGTTGCCTGGAGACCTCGGAGCAACGGGTCTGGGCAGTCACTGCCGCCCTAGCTCTTCATGTCCTGCAGAAGGGTTGTGAGCCTTGAGGCACAGAATGGCAGCCAGGGTTCCACACCTCCAGTTCAGTGTTTCTTTGACTTGCTGGCTTCCTTTTGACTTTTTGATGTTACCTTTTTTCTTTTGATGTTATGTTAAAACTTTGAAATAATGCTCAGACGATCACTTCATAGTTCAGGGCAGTATTAATGTTACATGTAGATAAATTTTGTGCTTTTAAGATGATGGTGCAGCGGGGAATTAAGCTGTGTTGCCTGTGTGTGCTGTGGTGTTGGAGTGGCTGAGCTCCATATCATTCTTTTTTTCCTCAGAGCTTCCAGTTGCAACTGCTAACCCCCACCTTTGAAGGGATCAGCAGGTTGTTGGTGAAACAGCATCTCATCCAGAATCCAGTCAGACTCTGGAGACTTTTAGGTGTGTATCTGTCTGTTGAAAGACATTTGTGGATACATTCAGGTCACGTTGCTTGTTTGACATTGTCAGGAAAACTAATTCCGGAAGAGGACCTCTAGCTGCTGCTCAGTGTGAGCCCCCAGGCGCTGCGAAGTGGAGTTTACGGAAAGGAGATTTGTCTCAGGTCTGAACAGGCCAGTTTTGCTTTTCGCTTTTTTGAGTTGTCTTTTTATTTTTTTAATTCTGGCAATAATTGGGCTGCTTGAATAGGTTTCCATGTCCTCTCTCTGGCTGTTTGTGTTCTGTGTCCCAGAGGTAACTAAACACAGCCTGCAAGTAAGGTGCTTCTCCCCTGCAGTTGCCCTGTTTGATGAGACACTGTGAGGTCCTGCTGTCTCTCTCTCCTTAAGTCAAAGGGCCTTGAGGGTTGACACCTGTACTTTTAACTCCCTTCTTTATCCAGCTGGAACAGGGAAAAAGTAGACTCTTCCAGGTACACTCAGCAGCCTGGCACCCACTTGTGGTCGCGTGAGCCCACATGCACCCAGTGCACCCAGACAGCCCTGTGTCAGGTGGATGTGGAGGCAGTTTGACTTGTGCTTCTGTTAATGTCTGTGAACAAAGGGGCAGCTCACGTTGTGAGCGACTCCCCCACACCCCATTTTAAGCACTGGTCTGTTCAGAGCTTGGACAGGACAGAGCCTTTTGTGTGAGGAGTGTGACGTGGGGCTTGTCCTGGTGAAGGTGGCAGCCTGGTCGCTGCCGCCTGTGCTGGAGCCCTTGTGTTGTTTGTGTAAATCCGTTTAAAGTGACTGTGTGTGTTGAGAGGCTTGTTCTCCAAGAAACTCATGACACTTTCTCAAATTTACGTTCCTAGATTTTATTTCTTCGCCTAATTTCAATTACGAAGAGATTCAACTTTGTAAATCGAAGTAGTTCTTAATCTTGCGCACGTAGACTTCAGATGGTTTCTGTCTGAGTTTGGTTATTTGAGAAGATACTTTTCTCCTAAGTGTTTCCCTGCAGTTACAGGTCTTGACTGTTGAGTGCTTTCCCTCTTCCCTGTAGGAGGCACATTCTACTTTGATGTCTCGAGGAGGAGGCGGAAGATGAAGAACGATGAGAAACCCAAGGGGAGGAGCCCTGAAGACGAGGAAGGTAGATCTGTCTCCCGTTCTCCCCTGATGACGCCTGGGGTGTCTACACATGGGTGCTCGAGTGTGAGGACTGGGAGACCCACCCTGGAGGCCGCCCTGAGCACACTTGCCCCCAGTCTCCAACGCAGTTGCTGGTGCTCCCTGCCGGTCCTTTCAGAGATGCCTTCACCAGCACCTGTTCAGAGAGTCCGAAGGCAGGTGGAGTTTCTGTCCTCTGCTCGGAAAGGGTGACTCTGAACCCGGAATCTGGGGTGGGGAGGAAGGCTCTGGGACCCCTTGGCTGGACCCTGCCCTCCTCGACACCCCTAGTCAGTGTCGCCCCTGCCTTTGGGCCTGAAGAACAGCCCCATGGAGAGGGCAGTGCCAGCCTGCCCTTGAGGAAGGAGATCTCTGAAGTCTCACCTTCACTCTGGAATTAGGACTCAGCATGTATGAAGGTGGGGAACGAAAAAGGTGACTTTGAATTGACCCCTGAGATAAAAGTCGGCTGCTTGGAGCTGACACACAGGGAAACCGCCTACCCTAATGGATGCTTGGAGCACGCCCAGCGCTGTAGCAAGTGTGTGCTCTCCTTGGGTTACCTGTGGGCGGGGACCCTGGGCGCCTGCTCTTCACCCAGAGGTGAGCCCCAGGGGCTTGAGGGCGGAGGGCAGCCTCGCTGGAGGGACTGCCCAGCCGTCACAGGACTGCCCCCAACCACTCCTGTCCCCAGGTGCCACTGCCCCACAGGGCAAGCTCCTGACCAGGTTGGTGGGACACAGGAAGACCTTCCCCAGATGCGGTCCAGGGACTCTTCAGGGGGTGGGGCACCCAGAGCCCCAGGATGTGGGGTGCAGCCCCTGGTGCAGGAAGGTTATGTGTTCCTATGGCATGTGCTGCCCTTGTGGCCCCTTTGCCTTGCCTTGAGATGAGCTGCAACTTTCCGTTTTAAAGCTCCGTGGGGACAGGTTTTGCTCCCAGAAGGGACTTGTGCTGCTGTTTGGGTTTAAATTTAGGCATTTCTGGTTTCAGTCTTGGCATCGCCCTCCTTGTCCTTCACATGGTGTGGGGGGAGCTGCAGCCCCTCCTCCAGTGTCACCAAGAGCCCCGCAGGCCTCGGCTCCTCTTTAGAAGGCTCCTGAATCTGAGTCCTCGCTGTCCAAGCCGGTTTCAGGGCTTCCGTTGCATTCTTACGCATGTCACCGTTTGACTTTGACCATGGCTGCTGCAAGGGGTGTGCTGTCCGTCCTCAGGGTGACTCCTGGGCCACTGGCCAGGGTCAGCTCGTGGTGCCATCGGCAGGAGCTTGGCCCCTGCGTCCAGACGGGCTCTCATCCCAGCGGCTCCCGTGGGGTCAGTGAGGTCGCTGCTACCCCAGAGACGCAGCAGCGTCGGCCGCGTGGTCCTGGGCTTGCGTTGCTGACTCAGGAGCCCTGCGGTGCTGACGGCCCCAGCCCAGCAGTTCTGGTGGTGGGATTTCCCAGCGGTCTCATGGGTGGGGGGATCCAGTGGATGGGCAGTCCAGTGGCTTAGGGGGCAGCAGCATTTCCTGGGCACCTCAGGACAGCGAGGTGGGAGGAAGAGGGGCTTCCAGGCGGAGGAAATGTCCCTGATGTCTAAAATGTTTAAATGCTGCTTTTTTTTACTCTCAGAGTCAGGTTTTGTTCACCTGTTACACCCCGGAAATCCTGTGTTTATTTAGCCAAGCCTGTGAGTGTGTTGCATGTGCACCTTCCCCTGCATTCCCCTTGGCCTCTCAGACTGGCCCGCATGACTTCATACCTGGTTGATACTACAGACACGTGTTTTGCCGGGCATGGCGTCCTCAGGGTAAAATTTCAGAGGTGGACTTACTTCAGGAAACTAAATGTTTCCCACAGGCTTGGCCGAGATGCTTTCAGGAAGCACCTCCTGGTTTCCTCCGCCCGAGAACGGGGGCCAGTTCCTGGTACTTCGGAGCCCTGGGTTTCCAGGTCATTCTGAACCTGGCTCTCACCCCAGTGCCCACCATGCTGTGCACGCGTCTGAAGCCGTCAGCTCACATGTGTGACTGAGTGTCCAGGGCTGGGACGGACCCCTTGCCGTCCTGCAGGGGCTCTGTCAGGTTCCTCAGTGCCTGGGCAGGGGGCTCGGCGGTTTTGACTCAGAAGCTGGAGGAGGGTTTATTGGAAAACTGAAACTGTGTTAAGGGTTCAGTGTGCTCTCTCAGGGCATCAGAGCAGTCACCACCCTGGGTTGTGTAGGTGTGACCACGGAGGCTTCTGGAAGGGACCCTGTTACTCAGTGAGCCTCACCCAGGATGGCCCAGAGTAGCTGTCGGAAAGTGCAGCTGCCAGCCTTGATGGCTCACCACTGGTTCATGAGGAAAACAGATTGAAAGCTAAGTGTCTCAAAGAGATGGCTTCTAAATAAGTGCTCAGCCGCTCACCTGAGAACATGAATCTGTTCTCCACAGTAAGTGCTCACCTTCTTCAGTGGCCTTCTAGGGACGTGAGTTTGAAATGTCAGCTGCACGGTCACCTATCATGAGCTAGGACAGTGTCTGCAATGCACATTCATGTGTTCGAGGCAGTTGCTGGGGTAGCCTTCTCAGGCTTCATTTTGTGGGAGTTTTGGGGGGTGGTAGGTAGGTTTATTTATTTAATTGCAGCAGAGGGACTAGGGATTGAACCCAGCACCTCTTGCATGCTAAGCACGGGCTCTGCCCCCTGAGCTATGCCCGCACCCAGTGTTTTTAAGCTGGATTGGAAGTGCTCTTGAGTTCCTCCAGCCGGACTGTTAGAGAGGGGAGCAGACCAGGAGGTGCTTCCTGAAAGCATCTCGGCCAAGCCTGTGGGAAACATTTAGTTTCCTGAAGTAAGTCCACCTCTGAAATTTTACCCTGAGGACACCATGCCCGGCAAAACACGTGTCTGTAGTATCAACCAGGTATGAAGTCACGCGGGCCAGTCTGAGAGGCCAAGGGGAACGCAGGGGAAGGTGCACATGCAACACACTCACAGGACCGTGGGGACCGCACTGGCAGGCTGTGCAGAGAGCAGCGGGCCGAGTCGCGCCGCACTCTGTCCTTGGAGAGGCAACCACGCCGGCTCTGCTGGCGTGTGGCACGGACGGTGGGGAGGAAGCTGTGGCTGTGAGCTGGGTCTGTGCTGAGCAGGCCTGGTGAAGGCGGTTAGTGCAGGTCTGTAAAGCCCACGTGGGGTGTTGGGAAGGTGGGGCCTGCACTGCACACTGGACCCCCGTGGTCTAGGGCCTCCTGCTATGTGGACAAGGTGCCAGTGGGCGCAGGGCCTGGGTAGCAGGCTCCTGGGACTGGGTTGGTGAGACCTTGTGAAGTCCTGGGCCAGCAGCGGCGTGTCTGTGCAATGCGGCTCCAGCCCGCGCTCTGACTGTGTGTGCAGGAGGGGCCAGCAGCGGCGTGTCTGTGCAATGCGGCTCCAGCCCGCGCGTCTGTACTGTGTGTGCAGGAGGCCCAGGCCTGGCCCCCGGTGGGCCTGCTGCCCATCTGTGCTCTGGGCCCGAGGTCAGTGACCCCTGAGCTCCTCAGTTAGCGCTGGTACCTGAGGGGTGTGACGGGGGCTTACCTGACGGTTCTGGTCAAGAACGGGCCTGCAGACTCCTCCGCGCGCGACTTCCCACGTCTGTGCCGAGTGCTGGTGGACTCACTCCACGTCACTCGTGGGTGGGGGAGGGCAGGCGGGGGGGTGACTGTCATCAGTAACTTGTGTGTGTGCGCCCGGCCCGTGGGCCCTGCGCCATCAGCGCCAGCAGCCGCCTGCACTAGGCCGGTCCAGGAGGTTTTGCTTTAAAAGCCATTTCGTGAGGCCTCAGCGAGGGGGACGGTGGTGACCTCAAGCGGCTCGTGCTTCGCCACCTTGCTGGAGAGCTGGCCAGGATGCAGGGTCTTACTGGGCGGGTGCGGGGAGGGGCCAGGCCCGGCCTGACGCCCTCGCGCTGTGCTGCCCCCAGAGGAGCGGCGGCGCCGGGAGCGCGAGGACCAGATGTACCGCGAGCGGCTGCGCACCCTGTTCGTCATCGCCGTCGTCATGAGCCTGCTCAACGCCCTCGGCTCCAGCGGCGGCAGCATCTCCTGGAACGACTTTGTGCACGAGATGCTGGCCAAGGGCGAGGTGCAGCGGGTGCAGGTGGTGCCCGAGAGCGACGTGGTGGAGGTGTACCTGCACCCCGGGGCCGTGGTGTTCGGGCGGCCTGTGAGTCGGGCGTGCGGGTCGTGGTGCAGGGCGTTCTGGCAGGCTTGGGAGGCGGGGAGAGGCGGCGCTGGGGTGGGGGCTGGGGGCACCCGGGGTGTCTGGGCCGGTGGGGGTCAGTCAGGTAACGGGGCCGGGCAGGTTAACCCACAGTGACTGAGACCGGACTCAGGCCAGTCAGCCCTCGGGAGGAGCAGGAGGAGAGGGGAGCGGAGGTGGGGGTGCAGATGTCGTGCGAGGTGGGGCCAGGCCCTATGGATGGGAGAGATGCCCCTGTGACAGTGTGTGAGAACAAGCCCCTTGCCTGGCGTCCCTGCCCATCTCTGACACCCGTTCCCCCGAGCACCGGCCAGCGTCAGGCCAAGAAGGACGCTCCTGCCTCTGCTTCCCAGGGGCCTCTCTCCTGCCTTAGGGGCCTTTCTTGTTAGTGCTTTTAATCCAGGTTCCAGTTAGGGATCGTGAGTTATATTTAACTGTCAAGTTTCTTTAGCCTCTTCCCCACTTTTTGTTAGAAGTTTGCACAATGGGAAAACCAGGCTGGGTAAAACTGGGCCCCCTCTCTGTGGTGGGAGACCACCGGCCTTTATGCTCTGCTCCCCCCGAGCGAGTGCACTCTCCTGTACAGAGATGCCCAGGCTTCAGTCGGAAGTTGACACATAGTAACTGACTGTACTTCAGTAGAAATACATATATAGAGAGAGCTTGGAACAATTAAAGTTGGGCTGACTCGGGACTGGGCTGTTAGAAAGATGACGTAGGGCCCGTGGGCAGTCACACCTTCTCACCAGCGCTCCAGGAACACCGCCTGCGCCTTCCGCCTGAGCCTGTCCTCTGTCCTGGGAGTGGACACCCGCTTGGTGGGATGTCAGGTTCACCTGACGCGTGAGCAGCAGACTTTGGCAGGTTGACTGTGGTCCCAGGTCCAGCACCGCAGGCTCCTCAACTCTGACCAAATGCGAGGCAGGTGCCGAGGTTATGATGCACGTGCCACCCTTCGTTTGTGTGCCCTGTTGTATCAGTGACAACTTGGTTGTAATTGTGTTTGAGAAAACTGAAGCTTTCTAGACATGGAGGTGGTTTCCGATGGCAGGTGAAACCCTGAGGTTGTCTGCACAGCACAGCTGAGGCTCCACTCTGTCGCGTGGGCCGCCATTCTGTCCTGTCATCACCCTCATAGTCCCTCTGCTCTCTGTCCCCAGCGGCTGGCCTTGATGTACCGCATGCAGGTGGCGAATATCGACAAATTTGAAGAGAAGCTGCGAGCAGCTGAGGACGAGCTGAACATTGAAGGCAGGGACAGGATCCCGGTGTCCTATAAGCGCACAGGATTCTTTGGAAAGTATGTCAGTCATTTCTGTGGGGTCCTGAACTAAACTGGCTTTGTAGCGTGAGAAAAAACACAGACAGAAATCTCAGACCGGCCCTGCCCGCAGCGAGCCCCAGCCCCGTGGGGAGGTGGCGCGGGGACCTGGCGCTCCTCGGGCCTTCGCAGTTCTCATCGCTTCCTCAGTTGTCTGTTCTTAATGCAGCACACTGTGGGTTTGCTGTTTCCACAGACAGGAAGAGGGAGCAGGGAAGGGAGAGGTAGGGTGTCCCGCAGATGCTCTTGGTCCCACATCGCAGAGAGACATAGAGACCCGTGCAGGGCCTCGGGGACAGACAGATGCGCAGGGCACGGGGTGTGTGAGTGACGCTGGGACCGCGGCCCTGAGGCCTCATGCAGAGGTCTGTGTCTGCTCGTGGTTGAGAGCACAGTGACCAGCAGCTCCTGAGGAGTGACGGTCACGGTCCTGAAGGCGCAGGCCCTGAGGCTGCTGCCCTGGCTGCTGTGGGGCCTGGTGGGGCACAGCTGGTTCCTTTCCACGTGGCAGGGCTCCCTAGGGTCTGCTCTGTTTGCTGCTCTGGTGTACTTTGCTCTGCTAACCCAAACTGGTGGCCTCCTTTTGACACCAGAGTGTGTGGGACACGGGCACCTGCTTCGGGTGGGCCAGACCGTCTCGGCTCTGGCTTCACACAAGGCAGATGCTGCATGTCCTGTGTTGCTGCACTCCTGGCCTACCTATGGGGACACTGTGTGAAGGCAGGGGCGGGTGGGAATTGGACAAGGAGGACCATCTTCAGCCGCGGCTTCTACACATTTGTCTCAGAATGGGGGTTTCCTCTCATCTTTGAAGCATCTGTGGGCTGTAACGTGGTGCAGTGAGAGTGTTGGCTGCCCTGCGGCGCCCCGAGCCCACACCTGCCTCTCTCTCCCGCTAGCGCCCTCTACGCGCTGGGGATGACGGCCGTGGGTCTGGCCATCCTGTGGTACATTTTCCGTCTGGCTGGGATGACTGGAAGGGAAGGCGGCTTCAGTGCTTTCGTAAGTGCTCTTGGGGCCATCTGCCTTGTGCAGGGCTGGTACACAGTGAGAGGTAACCCGTCACGGAGGCCAGTGGGGCTGTTGTCTGACACTGCATCTTGCCTTCTGCTCAGCTGACGGAGGGTGGGGGGCACAGCACCAGCTCTGACTGTGACTGAGGCCCCCTCCACTTGTGGGGTGTCTGCGCCAAGGGATCTGAGACTGTTTATTCTAAGGTTTTCCATGTCAGCTGGATGTGACTTTCCTGGAGTTTCCCCATCGGCTGAGAAAATTCCAGGACAACCTTAATATGCTTTAAAAATATTCTCCTGTCATGGCATTCATTACAACGTGCACTTTCCCTGTGTCAAGCTATCTCTGGCTGACAAGCCTCATCGGCTGAGGGGCCACAGGAGCGGGGCCGTGGGGTGCCTCCTGTCCCTTCCTGGAAACCGGGGTGGTGGGGACGCAGGGTGCCGTGTCTCCATCTGCAGCTGGAGACTCGCCCTCACTGTGAACACAGCATGGTGTTCTGTACTCAGCTAGCTGCACCACGCTTGTGTATTTTGGGCTGTTTACCATTGTGTTTACATAATACTACCATTTGTCTTTCTGCCCAGAATCAGCTGAAAATGGCTCGCTTCACAATTGTGGACGGCAAGATGGGGAAAGGGGTCAGCTTCAAAGATGTGGCGGGTATGCACGAAGCCAAGCTGGAGGTGAAGGAGTTTGTGGATTACCTGAAGGTGAGCGCGTGGGCGCAGGTGCGGGGCACCTCGGGGCCACACGCCATGTGCTCAGTGGGCCTGTGGAACCACAGTGGGGGCGCCTGTTGCCCTGCTTTCCCAGACCACATGGGTGTGGCCGGCGTCCGATCCCAGAGCCATCTCCTGAGGACTCCGAAATGCTAGGCCAGCGCCCCATCACCCTCTGCTTTTCCAGAGCCCAGAGCGCTTCCTTCAGCTTGGCGCCAAGGTCCCGAAGGGCGCACTGCTGCTCGGCCCCCCCGGCTGCGGGAAGACGCTGCTGGCCAAGGCGGTGGCCACTGAGGCCCAGGTGCCTTTCCTGGCGATGGCCGGCCCAGAGTTCGTGGAGGTCATCGGAGGTAGGCGTGAGGGTGGGGAGTGGATGGAGGGGCTGGGTGATGATGCTCTTTGCAGCCGTCCCCCCATGGTGCGGGGGGTCCAGGATGGAGCAGCCCTGTTCACAGGGGAGGACGCTTGTGGAGACCTTGGGCGGTGCTGGTCCCAGCCCGAGAGGAGGTTGGTGTCCGTGACCCGCTGGCTTCCTGGTCATCTGTGTCCTCAGGCCTGGGCGCAGCCCGCGTGCGGAGCCTCTTCAAGGAAGCCCGCGCCCGCGCCCCCTGCATCGTGTACATCGATGAGATCGACGCGGTGGGCAAGAAGCGCGCCAGCACCATGTCTGGCTTCTCCAACACGGAGGAGGAGCAGACGCTCAACCAGCTGCTGGTGGAGATGGACGGTGAGTGTCGGCTCCCGCGGGCGGTGCCCCGGGACTCAAGCCAGGCCGCTTAGGAGGCTGCCGTCTCACCCAGAGACACTGCTTTCACTTTTACAAAGTTAAGGTGCAGAACGCCAGGGACGGAAGTGTCAGGTCAGGTCACGATGGTGTTTTTCGGCTCCAGGGAGTCTGGGTGATGGTGCCATTGTGTGGGTCTCCCTGCCCTGCTGAAGAGTGACCAGATGGAGTGTGGAGTGGACATGTGTGGACAGGGGGCCACCGGGGGCAGTGCTATGTCTGCTGTCCTTGGACATGAGCCCTGGATTGACTTCCACACAATTCTTTTCCTTTTTAATGGACACGACCCAGAAAAGATAGTATGGGTTGTTCCCTTTGGCGCTACCTTTGTTCGGAACTCTCGGGTCTGCGTGTGTAGCTCCTGCTTTCATTGTGGACAGACGTATGTACGTCTCCCCCATGGAGAGCGCAGTGGCACAACGCACACGACTACGCCCACTGTTGCTTGCCCACCGTCACCAGCTGCCTCTCAGTCTCAGCTTCCCAAGCAGAAACTGTCCGCATCCCACCCCGGCCCCGCGTCCCACCCTGGCCCCGCATGCCGCC